GATACATGTCTTTCTCTGATTGACTTATTTCACTCAGCATAACACCCTCCAGTTCCATCCACGTCGTTGCAAATGGCAAGATCTCATTCCTTTTGATGGCTGCATAATATTCCATTGTGTATATATACCAAGTCTTCTTTATCCATTCATCTGTCGATGGGCATCTTGGCAAAAGTCATGCACTTTAATGAGCTCTCCTAGTGATGCTGATGTGCACCTAAGCTTGGGAGCCACTGTTCTAGAAGGGTCTTTGAGAACTGCAGCTAGAAGATTTGACTCTATGGGTCTATAGTAGATTAGGGTCACTAAACACATAAATCAGTGGACCTGGGTAGAGGAAAAGAAGACCAACCAATCTAGTTGGGTCCTCTGGTGGATGAGTAAGTGTTTTGACAAAGGGGGAGCTTCCTGTGAACGGAATCTCTAAACACTTGCAAAAAAATATGTATTTACGAAGTTCCACCCCAAAGACTTTTAAAATATTGTAAATTGGGACGGGGGCTTGTGCTGCTATAAGTAGTCCTGGCCTAGAGAGATGACCAAACACTGGACTTAAAGCTGGAGGACCCCAGATGGGAACCCAGCTTAACCATGTCCCAGTGTATGACCTTTGACCTCATCTCTCTGAAACTCACTTTTCTCCTCTGAAAAATGTAAAAATTCTTCTGACACCTTAACGCTGTGACCTTCTCATTTTCCCTGCTTCTGCTATCGCCATCCATCCTTCTCTTGTAGGCTTCTAGTCTGAGCTAGCTGTCAGCCTCAGATTGAATTTCTCCTCCTTTCTCAAGCTTTCCTTTATGTTCCCAGATTGCCAAGAACGTAAGCTTCTGTGAAAAGTGTATGTTTGGAGTGCCTGGCTGGTTCAGTTGGTGGAGCATGCGACTCTTGATCTCGGATTGTGGGTTCAGGCCCCACCTTCGGTGTAGAGATTACTTAAAAATAAATTCTTAAAGTCTATGTTTGCATGAGTAATCGTGATGTATTTGGAAGTCATGCATAGGTGTTCAGAACCTACATATGTACATGAACTTCCTACATCCTGTTCTTATCAGGAAATTTTTTACTTCTTCATTATTTCTTTCCTAACATCTCTCTTTTTCTTTCCTGGAAAATGGGTTTATGAACAAAAATGTTCACACCAACCTGAATGTTCACATTCATACATGTCCTTTCATGCCACAGCATTTAAAATTTTCTTTAATGTTGTTGGTCTTTGCCATAACTTTGTAATCACCTTGGTTGTAATACTGTCGCTTGCCCTTGAAGTTGAAATGTTGTAAAGTGAAAAATGGAGCAAATAGAAATAAGGGGCTGGTACTAGGTCACCATGAAGATTGAGATTTCAGACTTTTCTAAGTTGATTTTTCATCTAATAGGGAAAATGGCTGCACAAGGGGATTTCCCTTAGTGACTGTAAGCGCACCATGTTAAAAATGGTGACCACTGAACCCCCTTTCCATTCCTTTACAGTGAAAACATTGTTCAATCCAGCTCCTGCTGTTGCTGACCTGGACCCTCGCTTCTACACCCTCTCAGATGTGTTCTGCTGCAATGAAACTGAGGTAAGGATGGAACGTTTTACTCATTCCATGAGAAGCCAAAGACTTTCATGCAAGTGGATAAAGGAAAGAGGCAGGACTAACCACATCAGCTTGGTTGCATGTAAATTCTTGGACCCAGTGAAAACAATTTTCACTAACTGGGGTGTGGAGAAAAGGAAATTAGTGAGTCCTAGGGGGAAAACAAAAAGATTCCCTGAGTCATCTCCATAATCTGGCACTTATCAACCTCAGCTAATTTTAGTCCTCTCCCTGCCTTCACACTATTGGTGGTTTGTTTACTTCTTTAATTCTACATTCTATGGACTAATTAGTATTAGAGTTGCTAGATTTAGCAAATAAAAATACAGGATGCCCAGTTAAATTTGAATATCAGATAAACAGCAAATAATATATTAAATGTACTTGTACTATGAAATGATTTGTTATTTATCTGAAATTCAAAATCAGCTCGTCCAACAACCCTAAGTAATAGACAACCCCTGGAGCATTTGCCACCTTCTCTTGTGAAGACCCTGTGACCACAGGGGTGGATAGAGGTGCTCCATTGATGCCACGGGAAGGACCTCGGGGGCCCCTCTGTTAGGAGAGGGCCCTATCAGTCCATCTGAGCGTCATAATGGATAGAGCTGTGTAAGATATCTACCAATACATTCGGATTGTGCCATTCATTCTGAAGCATTTTAGGAAGAAAATTTCAGTATTGCTCCCTTTCTTGGCCAGACAGTTTTAGACCAGAGCTCTCTCTCAACATTGGGAGGCAGGACATATGATACAATGCAACATGCAGAGAGAGAAAGTTAGTAATTAAAGAACTATAATAGTGTAGGAGGGTTCACCTTTCTCCACATCCCGCCAACATGTGTCGTTTCCTGTTGAGTTAGCCTGGTGATGGGTATTAAAGAGGGCACGTTCTGCATGGAGCACTGGGTGTTATACGCAAACAAGGAATCATGGAACACTACATCAAAAACTAATGATGTAATGTACGGTGACTAACATGACATAATAAAATATAATAAAATAAAATAAATAAAAACATAAAAGAACTATAATAGTAACTGTCCATGTGGGTCAAAGGCTGAATGGATGTTTCCAGGATTTCCTGACCTGCCTTTTTGTTGTCTCTCAGAACAGAAGTAAACGAAAAAGAAGACTGCCACAAGGAAACTAATTTTAACAAATCACAATAGGCTATACAATATTTTGGAGCAACCACCATGGCCAGGCCTTCTGCTAGGAGAAAGGGATTGTGGGAAATAGTAACCATTTCCCAATAAGAAGTGCGATTACTCTCCACTGCCACCTGATTTGCCTGCTACATACTTGCAGAGCCCTATATTTATTCTTCAAACACTCATCACAGCTCAAATTACTTATTACTTCGAAGTCACGCAGTATCCCTTCTGGCCCATTCTATTGATTGAGGCAGGAAGGCCTGCCCTCTCGCCCCACCTCTCAATAGAAGATTATCCTTGTCACAGTGTGAAAAGAGCATCTACAATGTGATATACATTGATGGAGTTATCTTTGGAAATTACCATCTGTTATATTGTACCAGGCATATAGTTGGCACCTAGTAAGTGCTTTTTGAATGAATGAACAAATGAGCAAACTTTGATCTTTAAGAAAATTGATCTCAAACACTCAGTAGAAAAAAAAATTTTAAAAGCTTAATGTTCTTATGGAGGACTTCTAATCATGATAATAATGTAAATTCATGCTTTAAGATACCCTCTCTGGGGGCACCTGGGTGACTTAGTTGGTTAGGCATCCAACTCTTGATTTTGGCTCAGGTCATGATCTCAGGGTCATGAGATCAAGCCTGGTATCGGGCTCTGTGCTAGGCGTGGAGCTTACTTAAGATTCATTCTCTCCCTCTCCCTTTCCCCACCCTACTGCCCTCTCTCTAAAAAAAAAAAAAAAGAAAGAAAGAAAGAAAGAAAAAAACTCTCTCTGCTCCATACACAAACCATTAATATATAAATATACAAGAGACAATGAAAAGATACTCACAAGCTCAGAAATAAGATAACTCCCAGAGCAGAAGGAGAACAGAATCCTAGAGCATTCAGCCTTGAGTGTGCTAGGTGGTAGGGACCTCCAATGGGTCATGGGCACTAAAAACATGCCCCTCATGGGAGACTGGAGCAGTGCCCACTGCTGGACCCCAGAGAGGCTGGGCTGAGGCTCCCCAGCTAACCAAAAAAGTAGAGGAAGCTGCTAGGCCTGCTACCTGGGACTACAGCATTATGTAAAGCTACCCAAGCTGAGGAGACAGGAGGACAGAGGTACTGCCTGTGATCAGGAAGGAATCAAGCCAACTGCTAACTTGATGACCGGGAATGTGACTAGATTGGCAATATCACTGGTAACAGCAGAACGGGAACTCCATATTGCCAACATAACACCTGGCTGTGGTTTAGAGACCCTCAGGGGCCTGATGGATGCAACTACAAAACCACTGGAAAGGCAGGGATAAGCCTCATGGGAGCTGAAGTGTGGGATTCCCCAACTCACAGAGAGCAACATGAGCCTGCAAATGAAGAAACCTAATGCTCAAGAGTTATCCAACAAAATCAACTGTCTAACATGAATGAAATTCAAATAATGAAACAATGCAAAAAAGACTTTAAATATGATTGAGATTCTCATTCATTAAAAAAATAGAAAGTTAAGTGTGAAAGAGAAACAGGATCAAAGCAATGATATGTGAATCTAAAAACCAATCAATTAGAAATCTTGAAAATGAAAAAACACCTTTGAAATATTTCTATAAAACACTCATTAGGAAGATAGACATTAGACTGGAATGAAGAATTGGTGAATTGAAAGGGAATTCATCAATTCACAAACAAGTGAAAAACTCAATTCACCTAGAAAGTATCACAGAAAGAATTTTTTTAAATATTAAGGAGGAATTTAAAGAAATGAAATACAGCTCGAGCAGCTCTAACATACATGTAATTGGAGTGAAAGAAGAAGAGAAGGGAGGGAACTGGAGAAAAGCAATATTAGAGGAAAAACTGCAAGGTGTTGTCTAGAACTGAGGAAGAGCATGAGTCCTCAGAACAAAAGTGTATTAAAAGTACCACCGGGGGCGCCTGGGTGGCTCAGTAGGTTGGGCATCCGACTCTTGGTTTTGGCTCAGGTCATGATCTTGGGGTCATGGGATCGAGCCCGGCCATCAGGCTCCACACTCAGCACAGAATCTGCTTGTCCCTCTCACTCTGCTCCTCGCCCTGCTCATGCTCTCTTGCTCCCACTTGCTCTCCCTCTCGCTCTCAAACAAATAAGTAAAATCTTCTTTTAAAAAAAAGTATCACCTGAGATAAATGGATGTAACTCTCTACTAACATACATTTTAATGGAACTTCATAAAATGAAACGTAAAGACAAAAATATTTTAAATGGCCAGAGGAAAAAAGAGTACATATAGGTGATAAGAATATCCAGTAGTTCGTTGCTTGTAAAAGGGGAAAATGGAAAAATTGATGTCCATAAAAAGAATAGATTTTTTTTAACCTGTAGTATATTTGCAATATATTTGTAGTGAATGGAATACTGTGCAGTTCAACAGAAGAAGAGCTACGCATATCAGCACAAATGAAATTATATTAAGGGAAGAAGCACATGGCCAAATAATACCTATGAAAAACATGATTTACCTCCTTTAAAGAGAAATATCTGAAGCAAATAAAGTTAACACATAAAGATTTATTAAAAGCAGGTGGTAGGTACATGGGTGTTGCATTATCTTTTATGTTCAGGATCGTTTCATCAAAGAATAGTTTTTTAACAGGTTTTTAGAAACCACAAGAATTCAGTGTTTCTGAAAATAGACCATCTCACCCCACAGATGTAAGCGTTCTCAGTAATGAAGATCGGAAAAAAACTTATGAAAAGAAAACAGAAGGTGGCCTCAGGGCATAGCCAACTCGGACAGAAAGGGTCTGTGGAAAAGACTGTTCGGGAGGGACACATGGTCAAGTTAATGAAACCTTTGCTGCTGGGGAAGACCAAAGCCCAGAAGGAGCAGACACTGGGGTGACTTCTAGGCCCCAGGAAGGGTTAATCTGGGCATGTTCAGAGCAGGCACAGGAAGAGACAGACCCTTTCTTAGGAAGAAATGGGATACAGAAAAGACAGAATTTGGTTATAAACCTTTTGAGTCAAAAAGTATCCTATAATTCATCTAGTCCAGTAATTTTGCAGCCACTAATTTCAGAACCAGAGAGGGTCCCCAGAGGTGCTCCAGGGGTGCTTAGGGGATGAGGAAGCAGGGCTACAGTCCTTCATCCCTACTTCAGCCAGAGCCCTTTCTACACTCCGGGAGAGAACTGTGGTCCTGTGCAGGCCGCTCATTGTACAGACTGTATATGACGTGGGGAAAGTTCCAGAGTCAGTAAGTAGCAGACATCTAAATGTCAGCACGTTGCTCTCTCTGCGACATATCAGTGCCCCTTCTACCCTGCTTCCATCTTCTGGAGCAAAAACAAACACAAGAAATGGGTGTTGTGCAAACGTGGAAAGCTGTGACTAGTAATAAGAGAAAGGCATTATGGCCCAAGAGGGGGCCTAGAAGAATTACAGCCTTAGGTGTGAAATTCACAGACATGATTTATATCAAAATCATTGGCAGCGAGCGGCCCCTCCCTTTTCTCCTGTCTTCCCTCCCCTCTTCCTTTCTTCTGTAGAATTCTTTGTTCCCTCTAACTCTTTTCAATGAAAATGATCACACATACACACAGAAAAAGCTGGAAGAACGATACAATGAACAGTCACATACTGTCCACCCAGGTGGTTGCTAACATTTGCTGTGTTGCCTCCTCTCTCCCCTGTGTGTGTTTCTTTTTGTTTTTGTTGAATCCGTTTCAGAGTAAGTTGCAGATTACATGATACCTGACTCCTAACTACTTCAGCGCACATCTCCTAAGAGGAGCCACGATACCATGATCACACTTAAGAAAAGTATTAATAACTCTGTACTGTCATCTAACATCCAGGCCACATTCAAATTTCCCCAGTTGTCTCAAGAATGTCCTTGAGAGCTCATTTTTGTTGTCATTGTTATTGGGCTTTTTATTTCTTTCCCTGGGCCAGTATGCATCAGAGTTTCCCACGGCATTGGTTGTTATGCCAAGGAAGGGAGACATTTTCTAGAAAAACAAATCTAATCTGGAAGTGGACCCAGGTTACTATTCTCACTGCTGTTTCCTTTCACTTGTCTGTATCCCAGGCTGAGATCCTAACTGGCCTGGCGGTCGGCAGCCCTGCAGATGCCGGGCAGGCTGCACAGGTGCTTGTGGAAAGGGGCTGCCACGTGGTCATCGTCACCTTAGGTGCTGAAGGATGTGTGATGCTGTCCCAGACAGAACCCGTGCCAAAGCACATTCCCACCGAGAAAGTCAAGGCTGTGGATACCACGGTAGGTTTTAAAATTTCAGAATCAATGTCTGCCCCCTTGAAAAATCATCACTTAGTAACAAAGATTCTGCACCTGAATTTTTGGATCATGAGGTGACAGGGTAGAAGAGAAGAAAAACCAGGTGGGAGGGCTAGATCTTAATCCTTCCCTAACCAGCTGGGGGACTTTATTCAAGTCCCTTAACTTCTCTGAGCCTCAGTTTCTTCGTCCATAAAATCAGAATATCAGTAGCATTATACCTGTATTACCTATGTTCATTCATTCATTGATTCAGTAAATACGTACCGAATCCCTGTTACATGCCAGTCATCTGTTGGGAGCTGGGGCTATAGTGATGAGCAAGACAAAGTCTCTGTCTCATGGGGCTTAGATTGTAGACATTATAGCAATCGCTGGCAGAATGAAAGAGCAAGGAGCACTGGTTGGCAGAACTCATTCTTTTAGCCAACAAATAGTAACAGCTAACATTTACTACATGCTTACTATGTCTCTTTTGCATACATCTCATATAATCTTTACAAGAGTTACAAGAGGCAGGTTACTCTCCTCCTTTTACAGATTTAGAAACTTGCCCAGGACCATAATGCTAGGACGTAACAGAGCTGGGGTTCAAAACTCAGCCCATGGACTCCAGACACTTCTTGTATAAGGCGCTGCGTTAAGAACAAGCAGGTTAAGTGGACAAGTCACAGCCCAGAATGGGATGGAAAGGAAACGAGTTAGAAAAAAAAGCTCAGGGTTCCTCTAAAAATGGGAAAATAAAAATTATTTGCTTATGGCCTAGAATTGAGAAGAGCCGGGGGCCTGCCTGGGTGGCTCAGTTGGTGAAGCGGCCAACTCTTGATCTCAGCTCAGGTCTCGATCTCAGGGTCATGAGTTCAAGCCCTGTGTTGGTCTCCACACTGGATGTGGAGCCTACTAAAAATGTTTTAAAAAAGAGAGAAGAGCTGACTAGCAAAGTATATAAATGTCAGGGATCCAAAATGAGAGTTGAAGAATAAACATTTTAGGGTTCTTATTTGTAAGAAATTAATATGTAATTATAAAGTATATTTTGGTTTTTATGCTTCAAAAAGACTTTGAGATGTAGGTCATTTATCAAAAAGGAGCCTGGTGAATCTGATGAAGTTATGGGTGCGAATATGCTTTGAAAAATAGATAAGTACAAGGAATGCTTTTGTAACATGAAATTACACCCTGATTGCCTTTCACAGCATGCTTGATCAGGTATTTGATAAATTATCCTTGGTGTTGTCATCCCCTTCATACAGAGTCATTTTGGAAACCATTATTTTTTTTCTATCCTGTCAAGCAGTCACCTGAATTTGAGAGGTTCCTTCTTAGTTCTGAAATTAGACTAAAACTAGTCCAGGTCCTGAACTAGAGCAGATGAGTTTACTCTTTCTTTGCTGAAAATGACGGGTCCTGGGGGGGCGCCTGGCCGGCTCAGTCGGTAAAGCATGTGACTCTTGATTTCGGGGTCATGAGTTCAAGACTCACATTGGGCATAAAGCTTACTTAAGGGCGCCTGGGTGGCTCAGTTGGTTAAGCATCTGTCTTCTGCACAGGTCATGATCCCAGGGTCCTGGGATCAGGCCCCGTGTCAGGCTCCCTGCTCAGCGGAGAGCCTGCTTCTCCCTCTCCCTCTGTCTACCGCTCTGCCTACTTCTGCTCTCTCTTTCTATCAAATAAATAAATAAAATCTTTAAAAATAATAATAAAATTTAAAAAATAAAGCTTACTTAAAATGCATATGATGGGTGAAAACTATGCCTTAAAAATGAAGGGTCCTCATGAAGATGTTGGGCCTGCATATCCCCCAAAAGAGACTCAGCCTCTACTTCCAGTGTCTGTGTGGGTCAGAGCTGCTTCTGTGGCAATGAAGAAAAGAGGCAGATTTTTGCTCTATGTCATCTGCCATCCAAGGGTTAAAGTATGATGAAGTAAATATGATCTCCGCACACCACATGGCTGTGAATACGTACATAGTCATAACAGTGTAAGTGCCGATTATTGATTTATCCCAACATGGAGATTATAATCCTGTTTTGAAGATGGAAGGATACAGTGAGTGTGTGTCTGTGCACCTGGGGAAAAGAGAGCGGAATGCCCATCCTCCAGAGGTGGAAGTCAAGAGAGAATATTGGAAACTGATTTTAAGAAGCAGCAGTAGAAGCCTATTACCAGGAATTGAAGATAAATACTAGAAGAAACTGCCGAAGGAATTTTAAAGTATTTGCCTCATGGAAATGGTTCTGGAGAGAGATGGGGCATTTACTCTTTAAGCCTTGTCTATTTACACTATGTGCATGGATGGCTTTGAATTTTTTCTAAAATAACAAAACACAGTGAGATACCACCTGACACCCACTAGAATGGCTACATGATAACAAGGTGTAACAAGGATATGGAGAAATCAGAACCCTCAAACAATGCCAGTAGGAAGATAAAATGGAAATGGAAATGCTTTGGAAAATAGTCTGGAAGGGCTTCAAAAAGGTAAATTTAGAGTTACCTGGTCAGTAGCTCTAAATTTAACCAGCAATTCTACTTCTAGGTATACACCCAAAAGAAATGGAAACATGTGTCCACACAAGAATTTATCCACAAATGTTTATAGCAGCATTATTCCTCATGTTCCCACATTGGAAACAACCTGACTTTCAACAACAGATGACTGGATAAACAAATTATGGTACATACATAGAAGAGAGTATTACTCAGCCATAAAATGGAACACTGATACAGACTGCAGCATAGATGAACACCAAGACATTACACTAAGTGAAGAAGAAAAACATAGGGGACGCCTGGGTGGTGCAGTCTCTTAAGTGTCCAACTCTTGGTTTTAGCTCAGGTCAGGATCTCAGGGTCCTGGAATCGAGCCCCATGTCACACTCCATGCTCAGCATGGAGCCTGCTTGAGATTCTCTCTCTCCCTCTGCCCCTACCACTCATGCTCTCTCTCTCTCTCTAAAATAAATAAAATCTTAAAAAAATAAGACAAACATAAAAAGCCACAAATTATATGCTTCCATGTAGATGACATGTCCAGAATAGATAAATCTATAGAAACAGAGGGTAGATGGCTGGCTTCCAGCAGCTGGGAAGAGGGGGCAGGGAGACTGACTGCTAACGGGTACAGGAGTCCTTTCTGGGGCGAGGAAAATGTTCTGGAATTAGATGGTGGTGATGGGTGCACAACCTTGTGGATATACTGACAACCACTGAATCGCACACTTTTAAAGGGTGAGTTTTATGGTATGTGAATTATATCAGTTTAGAAAACAGAGGTCAAACAACAATAACAAAAAGATCCGTCTAGGCCCTTCACCGATGAGCAGATACTCTTGTGATAAAGAATCTTCCACTTCATAGCTCCGCTGAATCTACTGAATGGGCCCTCAGCGTCCCCCCCGCCATTGGAGCGAAGGTGACACAGGAAACAAGGCTAGTTATTTTCTGGGTGTAGAATCTCCCTCAGCCTTTTTATGCTATCTTTGTCCTCTCATCCCGCACTGTCATTATGAAAATCCTTGCCTGTTCTGCACACCACTGTTCAGCCTCTTCATAAGTCCAATAAAGAGGAGATAATTCACTTGGCGAGGCGAGGAACTCCCAGGGAGGCATTTTCTCTGGAACAAATGGGCTCCTTCACTTTTCTGTCAGGAGGGCATTACTCGCTCTCAGGCGGCTTATGACCTCACTTTTCTCCTCCTGCTAATCCCTCACGAGGCAGACCTTTAAAAAAAAAAACAACAACAACAAAAAAACATGTCGTGCCACCTAAATGTATACAATTTTTGTCAGTCACACCTCAACAGAGCTGGCCAAACTGAAATAAATAAATCAGGGATGGCACGGCCGGTGGAAACCCCTTCAGTTGGCTCCCCTTGCCCACCCGAGACAGGCAGGCTGCCCTAGAAGGAGCCATTTCCCGTTCAGCGTCAGTGCTCCTGCTCTATTCAGCTCGCCTCCATGTCAGTAGTTGGCTGTATCACTTCTATTTTTACCTCCGTCTTTCCTATTGTACTACCATGAGATGGGGCAGGAGTGCAGATGTCCTCCGCTCAGTTTGGGAGACATGACAGATGTGTCTCTGTGTTACCTGAATCTCAGCCTCTAAGCGCTGAACCAAATTAGTGGGGTTTCTGAGGGGTCTCTGTAGCCCCTACTCCTTTTTGTCCTTGAAAAGAGCCTTTGCACAGTTCTGTCCAGAAACTTACCTTATAGCCAAGATACAGTTTGAGCTCCCCTCACTGTTGATTGCCAGGACTTGGAAAAGGGTTGGGAGAGGAAAACACTGTGGGTAAAGAGCAATAGAATCTTGGATGCTGAAGAGGTAACTATAAAATAATAAGGCTAACTTTAACTGCCATGTCAATTTATTATCCAAGAAGTTAACTGTCATTTCCTCCACATTTTAACCTCAGGAAAGTTAAGTATCTACTGATACTGCCACTGCTCAAAGTATCTTGGAAGATCGTCTTTTAGAATGGCCTTGAGAGCACCTTGACCCTACTCATCAGTCTACTGGGTTTTTTTTTTTCTATTCATAAAATTAATACATACTTAGTTCTCAAGAGGAGAAAAAGTCAGACGACATAGAAAAGTATAAAGAAAAAAGTCAAATACCCATGAGTTTACCACTTAGATGTAACCACCGTTATCCTTTTAAATATTTTAAGTAGTCTCTGCACCCAAACTGGGGCTCAAATCTACAACCCACGAGATCAAGAGTCGCACACTCCACCGGTGCCCTCTCCACCATCATACTCTTAGTACAAATCCTTCCATATTTTTTTCCAGACCCATTCATGCACTTTTGAATATCTGTTAATGGAAAATTTGAGTATTTCCCCCAGCAGAGATTAATATGTGTAATTAGAGGAAGCCTCTACAACTCAAAAAGATCAACCATTTCTCTCGAACAATGTAAATGGGCAATTCACTGAAGAAGAAATACAGAAAATAAATGTGATAATGTTCAACCTCACAAGAAATCAGGATTATACAAATGAAAATCACAGTGAGAGTCCCCCCTTAACATCAATTCAGCAAAAAACAAAGACTGATAATGTCAAAGTCCAAATAAATTGGAAGCACATGCGCTCAGATAATTCTGGTGGGAGTGTAAATTTTACAATGTTTTCAGAAGGCAATTTGACAGTCCCAATTTTTTTTAAAGATTTTATTTATTTATTTGAGTGAGAGAGAATGAGAGATAGAGAGCATGAGAGGGAAGAGGGTCAGAGGGAGAAGCAGACTCCCCGCCGAGCAGGGAGCCCGATGTGGGACTCGATCCCGGGACTCCAGGATCATGACCTGAGCCGAAGGCAGTCGCTTAACCAACTGAGCCACCCAGGCACCCAACAGTCCCAATTTTTTAAATATGTTTTCCCTTTGACCCAGTAAATCTAAGAATCTATCCTGCAGAAATGTTCATATATACAAATATTTCTAAAGAATATTTATTCTGGCTTTATTTGTAATAATCAAAAATTGATCAGACATATCTACATAATCATCAATATGAGAAAATCAAATTTTAATAGCAATGGTGACATTTACTTAAAGACAACTCTAGCTCTCTGTAAATAAAAGCATACTTTAAAAATCTGGGGGAAAAAGAACCCCACCAAACTACTATTGCTCATTGGGATGGGGAAGAGGAGAGGACAGGAGACAGGTGCCATAGAGGAGGACTTCTACATTCTACTCCGTATTCTAAATTGTTTCAGTATTTCCATGACCCTTTATTTTTCATGCATTACTTTGAAATTTGGAGGATATATGATTTGGGGACATAGCAAAAAAACTCTTTGTAGCCACATCTAGCAAATAAGAGAGGGGATATCATTTCTCAAAGAGTGTGCTGGGCGGTATCCTCACAAAGGAGCCAGTAATTGGCCAGGTTCACTCTTGGTCTCATACACAACCTCTCAGGCATTCCAAAATCTCTATATAAGTAGGCTGAGTAGCCCCTTGACTTAAGATGACTTCTGAGTGGATAGACCCCTGATGCCAAAGAACTAGATCTGCATTGCCTTCAGATCCAGGCACTGGAGCTTCTTTTTAAGTCTGGATTATTTCCCTACACACTTTTGACAGGATTTTTTTCCTTAATCTTTCTAAAGAAACAATTTCCCTTAAAAATATGTTATTTTATACAGTTTCCCTTGGAAATAACAGAATAAATGTCAAAGCTTTTCTGTTTCTGTTCATCACTCAAATGCATGGCAGATCTTCAGAGAAGCTTTACTCATGGTCACGTTTCCTTTCAGAAGGGGTCTGCTTACCAGTCTTAAACTCTTCAACCCTCATTCCCACAATTAATAATATATTGAATGATCCAGACCTTGGCTTTGTCACCTTTCTCGGTCTCTATTAGTTGATGACCTGAAGGAATGGTAAAAAGAGCCAGGCCGTAGGTGATACCTCATTTTCAGGTACTTAATAGTTCACATACTTCATTGTCCATGTACCTCCCATTTGAAACAGACCTGAATGGAAAGGCTCATGAGGGATGGAGGAACATATATAACAATCCTTTGGACTGAAGTGTGTCCCGTCCAAAATTCGTATGTTGCAGTGAGTAGGTAATTAGGGTTAAGTGAGGTCATAAGGATGGAGCCATAGGACTAATATTCTTATAGGAAGAGACACCAGAGAGCTCACTCTCTGTGTAGACTCTCAAAGAGATCAGAGCACACAGCAAGATGGCGGCCCCCTGCAAGCCAGGAAAAGAAGCCTTAGAATGAAGTCCACCTTGTGAGCACCCTGATCTTGGACTTCCAGCATCCAGAACTGTGAGAAATAAATTTCTGTTGTTTAAGCCACCCAGCCAGTGGTTTTTTAAATGACGGCCCAAGCAGACTAACACACACAAGAAAGCAAATGAGTGTACTTCGTAAGTGACCTAAAGTGAATACTGAAAAGTCTGCTGTTTTGTGAGGAGAAAATAATCTGAAGTGAACTAACAGGATCAGCCTAAATCACCTTTTTGGTGAACTATCTTGAGAATATTGCTTATGGTTTAACTGTAATCATCGGTCCCAGTAGGTAAGGCCAGATGATGCCCTGAGCTTAAACCCTGATTTAGCCACTAACCTGCAGGCTTCTTTGGGCAAAGGACTCATTACGTTTGGGCTCGGGTTGTACATCCAAACAGGACGTGTCTGAGTGGGTGATCTCTGAGGCATCTTCGACCTGCATGATTCTTACAGATTCTTGGAGACATAAGGCTAAAGCCCAAAAGCCAGGCATTATTAGGCTGTGCTGGGCTGGGCTTTGTGCTGGACTCCGTATGCTCAGAACAACCCTGCAAGTTAATGCCCATTTTAGAGAGGAAGAAAGTAATGCTCCTAACGGCAAACAATCTGCCTGCTCAGACAGCTGGCAAGTTGGCGGAGCCAGGGATTGATTCCAGGTCTGTCTGTCCGACTCCGACGTCTGGGTACTCTCTACGGCACCCCTCTGTCTCTTGATGTTGTGGCAGTCCGCCCAGCCTTCAGTCCCTCCTATATGGCATCTCAGCACTGACTTTCCTTGTCACTTGTCATGATACAGGCTTCTGTAATCCCTCCATTTCTCTAGATTTTTAGAAGCTTCCAGATCTTGCAAAGGCACGGCCTACTTTGTGCCATAGAGTGCAGCCTCACTTAAAGGCAGGAACTCATGTAAGAACAGTGTCTGGCACGTGTAAGCACCCAGTACTTCTTAGTGCTCATTACTAGGTCCCTATGTGTCCACTGTACCTGGATCATGTCGGGGTACCAGGAAGCATGTACCAGGAGCGCATATACTCTCCAGTCCACGGAGTGGAAAGAAACCCAGGTCCCACTGCCATTTGATTCCAGCATCTTCCTGTACAGGACAAGGAGCTGGACTGCACGGATAGTAGTGTGGCAGGATCTTTCCAGTCCAGATATCAAAGTTTCGGGCACAGACCACTTCCATTCATTCTCGTCATTGAGTGACCAAACCTGAAGGAGAGGTGAACCACTCCTAGAGAACATAATCAGATCATCTTTCCGTGAGACTTCTTTAAATAGGGGCCTGGACTGCTAACTGGAGAGGCTAGGGAAAATATAATTCCCTTTCTTAACATTCCCAAACTAGCTCTCCAGTTTAAGGAAAGACAAAAACACTCCTCCTTCCCTCCCTAGCAAACTCCTATCCATCCTCAAGGTCCAGCTCAGAGTTCCTTTTTGGGCAATCCCACTGCTTACTATATGCTTGTCATATAATAACAGGCCTTCCTGAAATAACAAAAGAGTCTTGGTTCCTTCTGGGAAAGTGACTATGTGTTAGGGTCACTTAGGCTCACTGAGCCCCAGTATTCTCAGAGCACTCGAGGATCTAGAGGATTCCTTATATTCCTTAAATTCTACCTTGAATATGCCAAGGGAAAGAATAAACCTCAGATACACATGCTTTTTTTTTTAATGTTACAAAAACAAAATGCCCAGTTTCCCATTTTAAAACCTATCCTCAGATTATTTTACCTGCATGATAGAAAAGCCAGGCCAAATTAAGTTACAGGGGGTAAATGGCATCTCTGAAACCGGCATCATAGCATACAGAACACCCAGCTGAGGCTCTGAAATAGCCATCTTAACCTTAGGGATGATATCAATAAATGGACATGATACCTGAGCAAACTGTCAACTCTGGCTGCCAGAAAAAATGAAGACAACAAAAAGGAGTTGAGTGAGTATAAAGAAAGGACAGAGGGCAAGGTGATTGCTGAAGAGACTGATGGACAAGGCACGAGACATCTGTCATGCCCGGGGGTCCATATTAGCTCTGTGACATTACTTCCGTATCAGCAGATCACCTCATTTGCTGGCTAATCGGGCAGAATTAAATATTTTACATTATCTTTCTTAATCCTGCATGTGATCAGTTGAAAACCCAGGGCTCTAAAAATCTAATTGTAACTGCTTGCCAGAAATGTCATCTTCACTTGGAGGAACTGGACCAGGGCCAAATACAAGGCTGTGTTTTCCGTTTTGCTAAAGTACCGACCCGTGGCCAGACCTGGACAGGCACGTACGTGTGCCTGGTGCTGGACGTCTTCGGGGCTCCTGAGCCGGAAGCTGGGGTCCCCGGCCCTGCTCCAGAACTCAGATCCAGCCAGAGATTAAAAAGGGCCATGGTAGTGAGAAGAGGGGTGTGTTGGGGGGGCGGTAGGGTGTAGAGAAGAAAAACTGTCAAAACCTCAGCAAAAGTCAAGAGAGCAAAATCTAAATCTAGATTTAGAGTGTTGTGTGGGGCTTGACGCTACGTAATTGAAAGGACAGGAAATAGTCCCTGTCCCCGGAAGAAGGGATGGTTTAAGTTTGTAGGAGCTTGCGTATCCATTCACAGTGAAGGCTTGGAGCTTCCTACGCCCACCCTCCGCCTCTCCCAGGAGAGCAGTGTGAGCCCGCGGCGGTGGCACGGCAGTCTGCTCCTTTGCCCACCGGCTAGCGTGGCGCCCGCGAGTTCTCCGGAGCAGAACTGCCAGGACTAGACTACGGTGCTTTTCTGTGCTTTCCAGCGTGTGAAGATGTCTCTTGGGTAGACCTGAAATTAAGAGGCGAAAAACCTTCCGGAGCCAAATTGTGGAGCCCAGTGAGCCGTAGCCATGCCCACTGCCCTCCGCGCCCGTCGCTGCTGCCAGAGGTGAACGAGGAAATGAAAAAAGAGCCTTGGCGAACTTCTGTCTGCCTTGGTGTGAAAGCATGTGTGTTGTAGGTGAGTGGTGTGAGTACTTTGTGTATTTTCAGCGCTGAGGATGTCTGCGCTGTGTGAATAGACGGTGGCATGAGCGTCGTGCGTGCCTGCGTGTGTAAAACGCACTGCAGTGGGACAGGGTGTAAAGGGGCGGCCGGTCACTCACGGGCTCTCTGCTGTGGTACAACCCTGAGAAAGCGATGTGATTTGGGAATAGAGGGGGCCAAGGGTTAGCTGAATTACATCTCCCCTGAAAGGGTCTCTAAAGACAAAGTTTTATATCCTTTTCCTTCCTCTGGTCGAAACAAACGAAAACAGGGGCACCTGGGTGGTTCAGTCAGTTAAGCGTCTGCCTTGGGCTCAGGCATGATCGCAACATCCCGCCATCCGGGCCTGAATCAGGCTCCCTGCTCAGCGGGGAGCCTGCTTCTCCCCCTCCCTCTGTTGCTCCCTTTCGTTCACGCTCCATCTCAAATAAATAAATAAAATGTTTTTTAAAAAAGAGAGAAAACTAGGAAAAGAAAGATCATGGTTACATTTGCCAAGTGACTTCCCGTGACTGTTGTGTTCCCAGTTAAGGAAACCATCTTCCAGGACATCTGGGTGGCTCAGTTGGTTAAGCGTCTGCCTTGGCTCAAGTCATGATCCCAGGGTCCTGGGATGGAGCCTCAAGTTGGGCTCCACACTCAGCAAGGAGTCTACTTCAGGATTCTCCCTCTCCCTCTGCCCCTCCCCACCCCTGCTTGTGCTTTCTCTCTCTCTCTCTCTCGCTCTCTCTCGCTCTCAAATAAATAAATAAATAAATAAAATCTTTAAAAATTTTTAAAAAGGAAAAGAAAACTGCCTTCCTCTACTTAGTCTGCTCTTTTAGTTTTAGCATGTGGGAATCTAATTGTGTAGATTCAGTTGTACATGAAATATAATTTGCATCAAATACTCACATTGACTACTTCCCTCAGTCATCCCGGGGCCAACCAAATCGCCTGCGTCCTCCCTTCCTTCCTTGGTTATAAATTGTGAAATGTTTCAGTGACACTGAAAAGTATAGAGAACAAGATCATGACCACCCCATGGATCCACCACCCAGGTTTGTTATTTCTTCATATTTTGCTATTTTTGCTACCGGTAGTTTTTAAGAAATAAAATGTCACAGGGTGCCTGGGTGGCTCAGTCGGTTAAGCGACTGCCTTCAGCTCAGGTCATGATCCTGGAGTCCCGGGATCGAGTCCCACATCGGGCTCCCTGCTCAGCAGGGAGTCTGCTTCTCCCTCTGACCCTCTTCCCTCTCGTGCTCTCTATCTCTCATTTGCTCTCTTTCAAATAAATAAATAAAATCTTTAAAAAAAAAGAAATAAAATGTCACAAACACAATGTGACCTCTTGGCTTAGGATGCTTAGTGCTATAAAGATGCAGCCTATGTCAGAACCTAGCTTTTAGAAACACATTTGAACAGAAGAACAGTAGGATTTTGTAAGAATTTCTCTTGATCTTTGCCATTCTGCAGTTTTACTACAATGAGCCCACATCTGAACTTCTTCTCATTTATATTGCTGATGACTCTCTTCTTCCTGAACGTCAGTATTTGTGTTTCTCCTCAATTCTGAACAATTCTGAAGCATTCTCTCTTTATTATTGCCTCTCCTACTTCCTCAATCATCTCCTTTTGGAACCCCTAGAAGGTATATATTAGACTTTCTCTTTTCTATTCTTCATGTCTTTTAAAACTGCTAGAGAGGAGGGCCTGGGTGGCTCAGATAGTTGAGCATCCAACTTGGTTTCGGCTCAGGTCATGATCTCAGGGTTGTGAGATTGAGCCCAGTTTCAGGCTCCGCACTCAGCAGGGAGCTGGCTAGAGATTCTCTCTCCCCCTCCCTCTGCCTCTCTCCCTCCCCTCGTGCACTCTCTCTCTTTCTCTCTCCTCTCTGTGTCTCTGCCTTTCTCTCTCCCAAATAAATAAAATCTTAAAAAAAAAAAAAAAAAAAAAAGCCCGCTAGAGAGAGAAGCCTGGGATCCCGAGGCTGCCTGTCACCTTATTCTTGTCCCAGGGTCGATGAAACAAAAGTGACCTCAAGAACTGAAAACACCACCTTTAAACACAGAAAGTCACAGTCCTTTAAGAAACAGAAAAGACCCCTGTGGGAAGTTATGGCAAAATGGGGTGAGGAGCACCCCACTGTGCACACATTTACTCAGCACACTGTATTTTAATTTTCTGCATTGCAAACAGCTGGTGTGCACTGATATAATAGGGCAGTGGTGTAATAAGACAGTCCCTGGCCCCAAAGAGCTTGGGTCTGGAAGAGTCTGTAGCCCACAGTCAAACGAGAAGTGCCGTGATGGGGATGCACCTGAAGTACTATGGGAGGGCGGCTGAGGAGCCCGCGACCCTGCTTTGAGAGGGCAAGGGAAGGTGAGGGAAAGGATAAGTCAGCTCGGGGAAGGGTAACCCCGGCAGAGGCAGCAGCTCATGAAAGGTCCAGAGCCAAAAGAGTGTGTCAGTGTTGGTGCCTTTTCAAGTAGTTGTGTGTGGAAAGAGCTTACGGTACAAGGAAGAATGGAAACGGAGGAGGTGCAGCTATGACAGGGACGGGTTGTGAAGGGCTTCATTTGCCACAACCGGAAACTTGCACATTCTCCTGAGGGCAATGGAGAGTCCCTGAAGAGTTTAAGCACAGAGAGATTTTTCAGATTTGTACTCTATTAAAAAATTAACATGGCTGCTTATAAAGAATAAGTTGGAGGGGCACCCGGGGGGCCCAGTCAGTTAATCCAACTCTTGATTTCAGCTCAGGTCTTAATCTCAGGGTTATGGGTTCAAGTCCCTTGTTCAAGTTCCGCATTGGGCTCCAATTTATTCTTTAAAAAAAAAAGGAAAAAATAATAAATTGGAGATTCTAATACTGGAGGCAGGGGGAACCACCCAGACTGTTGCAGTGATCTTATCTAGTAACAGATTATGGCAGCCCGGACTAGGGAGGTAGCAATGGAGGTGCTGAGAAGTGAGTTTAAGAACTCTTAAGAATTCAGAGAACATAACGGTAGGTCATTTCCTTTAAAATAAAAGGGTGGGGGGACCAAGTAAGATGCTTACTTCATGGTCAAAACCAATAGATCCTTCTACCAGTGTCTGTGGTTGTCAGCATGTTTTGAGCCTTGACTCACCTAAGGACCAAGACATACTCCCATCAGAAACAGTCCGTATCACTGGCGATTCTCTGCAGATGGCACAGGAATACAGCGGTGTAGTTTACAGAAAATAAAATGAAATGCTCAGATGATCCCTGCATGCCCTTACATTGGGCATGTCTGGCTGCCTGCCACCCCCATTTTGGGGAATCACTGATCTGTGCAACAGAGAGGCATTTGGAGCAGAAATTTATCCTTCACTTAAAGTAAACAGCATGTGAAGGGAACTCTTTTGCAACACAGTGCTCGTTGAGATATCTCCCCTAACGCCTGTGCCTGAGACGCCAGCTTTCTCCAGATACGAACACAGCCTTCACGTAACTACACGCTCTCCCCCTGATGAAGTGACAAATCAGCCAGTATGTGATGAATTGGGGTTGGGTAGACAAAACACCAGGTATTCCAGCCAAGGCATCCACAGTTTGTTGTGAATCATCCACACCAGCCTTCAGCAGTGAGACTCTGGGAACAATTGTTCAGTTCCATCCTTCGTTCCCACCATGTACAACTAGCCCAAGACCCGAGAGTGAACCAGCAACTGTAGGAACCAGAAACATTATAAATAACCCGGAGAACCCTTTTATAACAGCAACTGCCTACTGATTTTGTGGCCTAACAGCTCAAGCAAAAAAAGGATATAAATACGATATTGTGCAATGACTAATTACTCAAAATTTTGTGCATCAGCAGAAGAGGAACCTGTGGTTGGTGCTAATATTATCAGATATCTTTACTGTTTAATAATACGGTAGCTCTGTATTATGGGGCAGGCAGTTTTCACAGAGAACAATGATTTTATTTCAAGTACCTCTCACTGACATAAAAAAGCAGCTGTTAGAAGATGAACATTTGGCAGAAAATGTTTTAGCAGAATCTTTTGTGAGATACTAAATCATATCGGATTAACTGTTTTCTGTCGAGAATAGTGGAGTCCCAAAGAAAAAAGATGGCTGACCACAGAAGGCAAGGCCAGTTTTTAGAACCCAGTGAATCACTCATAGACATTGTAGTTGTAAGTGCCATTTATTCACCAAAATATAAAGTTATTTATATACAAAGCTTCCATTAATGTTGCCTGAAGAATGGGCCTATTTTTATTCCAGTTTTAGCTCACACTCAGGATTCTGCTTCTCTTTCATTAAGTGCATTCCAATAATGGAATTCTTTAAATTATAGAATAAATTAACCCACCGCAGACATTTTCGGCCAGAATGGGGTTTTTTGACCAGTTTCAAGTCTCCACAGGCCATTCTCTGTGGCCAGCCAGACCAAAGAGCAGCGAGGGCTGTGACCAAGAGCAGCGCCTGCTGAGCACATGCCGGCCCTGCCCCTGAACCTGAAGAGGGTCTAGGGCAGCACTGGGCTTCCTGGCCCTCACGGCCCACCACTCCCAGGTTGACAGTAGAGCCTCACATGTTCTTCAGGCTGGTCGAGCACTGGTCGCTGTTAGAGAGGAAGTGACATCATGCCGTGGCTGCTGGGCACAGCCAGTTTTAGCCAAACAGCATTATGACCGAGCTGCTTTCATGTGGCCATACTGATTGAAGAACTTTTTCACATTAAACTATGATAAGTAAAACATAAAATTCTCCTCCTTTCTAAATCATCAAGCAGTGTACAAAGCAAAGATTTTCATCTTGTCCCCAATTCCTACTCCTGGGGTGGAGTGTGTGACTGGGAAAGATTAAAAATGGAGTGTTTTCTGAGATGGCTGAGGATTGCTTCTAGGGCAGAGCCCGGACTTGGGCTGAGAGTGGCATGAGGTGCAGAAGAGGATATGGAGACAGGGATGTCTGTGCTGTATGTTATTTGGTAATTTGAGACACTATGTCTGCATTTTCGTGTGGTCATTTTGATGCAAGGGCTAACTCAAAGTAGCCTCATCAAAATGCCCCGTTTTGGGGTGCGTGGCTGGTTCAGCTGGTTAAGCGTCTGACTCTTGGTTTTGGCTCAGGTCATGATCGCAGCATTGTGGGATCGAGCCCCACGTCCGGCTCTGGAGCTCAGCATGGAGTCTGCTTGAGATTCCTTCCCTCTCCTTTTCCCTCCCCCTCTGCCCCTCCCCCTGCGCTCTCTCTCTCTTTCTCTCAAATAAATAAATAAATAATCTTTTTTTTTTTTAATGCCCCATTACTGGTATGAATGGCCAGCCCAGAAACAGTAGATACTGAATCAGGCCCCAGATGAAGCCTGCAAATGACCTCTGTCAATATGGACCACTGGACCAGGAGCCATATATCACCACAAATGGAGCCAGATCAGTTCATGGCGTTGACCTCTGAGGGTGAACACCACAACCAGTGTACAATATAGATCAAATAGAGCTGATGCAATTATTATGATCACCTGTACTCTTACAAATGGTTACCAAATACTTGTAGGGTACCAGTAAATGAAGAATCTGGAAGTTCTGGGATGAGGGCTGATAGTTTTTCTTATTCTCTAGTAGTTGAATTTTAATCAATATGTTGAAAATTGCAAGACCGGTGTCATTTTTTAATACCATTTATATTATAGTCTTTTGGGGCAGTGAGATGCTACCTTGAACATATATCGGCCCCACCTACTTTTGGTTTTGCCCGCAACCCCCGATTGATTCCTCTATGTTTTCATCCATCTAAAATAAAGACGGCTTTAGCCCCCAAACCTCATTCCAGATGGAAATGCATAATTCAAGAGAAATACTGATGTCAAAGAGAAGGCACACCAATTTGTGTCAGCAGTTGCTGTAAATTAAAGAGGAGTACAAGGAGAGTTTAATATAATGTAGAATTGAAAATAAAATTAGAACGAATATTTAGGCACTCCTCCGCCTCTTTTTTTTCCCTTCTGTGACACGAAGGATTGACTCCCAGCCTAAGTACCTAAGACAGTTCATTTTCCTTGCCTGCTGGAAAATTCTTTCCCCATAAAATGTTGCGTGTTTGTCTTTGGCATCCAAAATTAGGCTTTTTACCTTTTCCATTCTAATCTCAACAGAACAGTCAGGGTAGGAAGAGTCCACATTTTCCCGCATCTTCCACACCTGTCACGTTTGCAGCCCAGAAAGGACCCCTGCTACACCAGTCTGACTAGTCAACTGCTGGAAATGGCTATTAATTCTTCCCTGATACTGATTCTCCCTAATGTGGGTGTCACCTCCATGGTTTCTTTTCTTTTCCTCAAGCTGGGAAATGCAAGAGTCAGTAACGCACATCTCACACATGTAGTACTGTACCAGAAAAAACTCTTCAGCACACATCTGAAAGAGTGAACTCCCCTTTAAAGTAGTGATATTGGGAAGCTTCGCATTTAGTCCAACCAAACCACCATTATTTAGAACCTTTTTGGAGTTCTTTATTCGAATTGCCCTCAGAACTGGTGGTGGTCTTTATCATTGCCCAGTGGTGGCATTCCCTAGCTTGATCTCCCACTGTCATCACTAGACTTGGTTTTTAACGATTCCCTCTTTCCAGAAGTAAATTCCTTAGAAGAGTGGTTCTCAAAATGCAGCGCTGGACTAGCTGTATCAGCACCACCTGGGAACATCATCTGGGCCCTACCTCAGATTTAATGGATCAGAAACTTGGGGGTGGGCCCAGCAATCCGCGTTTTAACAAGCCCTCCAGGTAATTCTAATGCTTGCTCTAGTTTGAGAACCACGGACTTAGAAGATGAGATATTGCCTCCATTGAGGATGTTCAAAGATGTGCTACAGATTTGGAAAGTATTCCAAAGAAAAAGTTTCACAATCTTTTTGAGCAAAGCTGGAGTCCATGTATGGCTTCTCCAGAGGACTGCTTCTGCAGAGACCTACCGCAGCTGAGGCATTCGCTCCTGCCACCTTGCTGTTTGACCTCGAGCAAGTTCTTACACTTGGTTTCTCATCTAGAAAATGGAAGACCCATCCTACCTACGTCACAGGATTGTAATGAGACTCAAAGTGAATCACATCTGCAAACATGCTCTGTAAAGCATATTGGTATGCTATTGGTCCTGTGAAAAAGTGAAAGTCATTGTTATTCCGCAGATAGGATTCTGGTAATCTGAGCATTACACGAGGGCAAAGACTTGGAAAAAGTTATAATTTCCTTGGCCAGATCCACCTTTTTGCCTATATAATGACTGCTTCATCATCTTAATGGACATGCCTCAGATTCTGCCATTTCAGCCCACCCATTTGTCTGGTGCTAAGAGAGGGACACCACTGCCTGATAAACAGCTACAAGGTCTAGAAAAATATATCCATTTTCAGACATGCTGTTTGCTATGGAAAACTCTGTGATGATTGGTAAGGACAGACTGTGTGTATATACGCACTAAAGCTCTCGTGACCAGAACTTGTCACATGCTAGCAGCGGAAGGGTCTGGACTGAAACCACCCACTTCAGCGCTATGCAAGGGAGTCATGACCTTCAAGAAGGACGCTAAGTGTCCATTGCCACACAGTAATCATTGCAGAGAGGACCAAAAAGAAAATCCCTCAAGCAAACCAAATCTATGGAAACCAAGAGTTCAAAACCAGACCAGTCAACATGTCTGTGCTAGAGAGAATGTGGGTGGATTTTACCTTAGAGATTAGCTGGGTTTTGCTTTTTGTTTTTTAAGACTCTGTTTATTTGAGAGAGGAGAGAGAGTGAGTGAGCGAGAGAACACAAGCTGGGAGAGAGGCAGAGGGAGAAGCAGACTCCTTGCGGAGCAGGGAGCGCGATGTGGGGCTCGGTCCCAGGACCCTGAGATCATGACCTGAGCCAAAGGCAGAGCCACCCAGGTGCCCTTAGAGATTAGCCTTTACAAATACCTTCACCATAGGAATTCTTCAACGGCAAGCTCCTGGTGCATCTATCATTTCACTTAAAAACTTTACTGACTCTTCAGTGAACATATCTGGGCAGGAAGTTAAATCTGTTGCCTTAGTGCTTATTAGGAATGCAGTTTTAGTAACAGAGCAGTTCCTGCTAGACCAACGTCAACTTCACTTTCACACAAAGTGCCAGCGAAAATCAAGAGATGAGGTATGAATCTAATTGGTTAAATGTGATTAAGTTATTGACTGATTATGCAATAATAAGCTATTGGTTAATTATGGAGTTGGAATATGAAATGATTTTGTTCAAAAATGTGTGCCTGCTTAACAAATCTACAGAGACAGAAAGTAGATCAGTGCTTCCTAGGCACGGCGGGATCAGGAAGGGGGGGGCTGTGATTGTTAGTGGGTACAAGGTTTCTGAAAGAGGGGATGAAAATTTCTAACATTAGACTGTGGTGATGGTTGTTCAACCCTGTGAATATATTTAAAAACATTGAATTGTATACTTAAAGTGGGCAGGATATATGGTATATTAATTATATCTCAATAAAGCTGTTTTTTGGGAGGCTCCTCGCTGGCCTAGTTGGTAGAACATGTGACTCTTGATCCTGGGATTGTGAGTTGGAGCCCCATGTTGGGCCTAGAGCTGACATTTAAAAAAAAAAAAAGTGGGGTTTTTTTTTTTAAGATTTATTTATTTGAAAGAGAGGGAGAGAGAGCACAGAGGAGGGGAAAGGAAGGGGCAGCAGGAGAAGGAGAGAGAGACCCAAGGAGACTCTGCGTTGAGCATGGAGCCCCACGTGGGGCTCCATCTCACAATCCTGAGATCATGACCTGAGCCAAAACCCAGAGTTGGACACTTAATCAACCATGCCACCCAGGCTCCCCCAAAGGTGCTGTTTGTTTGTTTGTTTGTTTGTTTGTTTGTTTTAATCAAATAGCTAATAAATTGTAGAGCTGGGAAAACATTGTGCCTATTTAAAAGACAGGAATAAAAATCATCCATACTTTGCTGCATACAGTTTCATACTTGATTAATATGAAATAATAATCATTTGAAATACATTAAGGCAGGAAATATTTGCTTTCTTTTAATCACACAGTGTTTTAAAAGCTGACTATTTCAGCCTAATAATTGAAATTTAAACGTAGTAAACAAAGGTGGCTAATAGTTGAAGCCACAGTCATGGACATTTATGACATAATGATTTGTCTATGTTCCCTACAGGTTTATTTAGAATAAAAATCAGTAGCTCTTAATAGTGATAAGGAAGCTGGATTCTCACTGTCCATCTTGATGCTTCTAAACTGATCTGGTTAGGACAGCCAGAAGGTTGAGATTGGAAAGGATGTGATCTCATCCTTATGATGTCAGTATGCACTGATAAGGGAAAATAGAGATATTCAGATTTGAGCTGTGAAACAGGGCTCTTGTGTAAGCATCATCCTATCTCATGGTACGTTCGTCAGACTCACTGTTGTCTGCCTAGGAGAGAACCTTTACACTTTCCTATCTTGGGAAGATAGGCCAGGCTCCACTAGTTCTAAACTCCTTGGGAAGTCCTCACTCCGGGGTGTGGGGCTTGCCCAGGGCTCACTGGTGGTCATGGAGGCCTGACTGAGGCAAACAGGAGAGGAACTGGCGGGGAGAGGGAGGGATTTCTGGCTCAGCAGAAAGCAAGCAGGGAGCTACCAACACCTGCCTAGTGTGCCTTGCAATTTGGAGATTGCTGGCTAGGGCTTCTTTCTTTTTTTTTAAGATTTACTTATTTATTTTAGAGAGAGAGGGTGGGGGGAGGGGCAGAGGGAGAAGGAGAGAGAAACTCAAGCCAACTCTGTGCTGAGTGTGGAGCCTGACACCGAGTTCGATCTCATGACCCTGAGATCATGACCTGAGCTGAAATCAAGAGTCAGGTGCTTGACCGACTGTGCCATGCAGGCGCCCCTGGGTCGGGTTTCTTAGTGCACCAGCAGATCCTAACCAGGCCACTGGCAGGTTCTCGGAGACACGAGGCCCTCCTTCAGGGTTTCTCAACCGGTCTTGCGGTAATCACCACCCACCCCAAGTGAGCCTTTTAAGATATTTTTTTTCCTATTTGTCATCTTCCCCCATGAAATTTTAGTACCACAGATACTCTCTCTTTCCAGATAGATAGAT